GAGAAGGGAGGAAACATTTTGCGCAAAGCAGAAAAAGTTGTCTTAGAGGGTTGAACAGTTGTATGGGAAGGTGGGAAAATTGTAAAGCAGAAACATATAAGGAGACAGGAAAGCTATCTTTGTCATGAAAGTTATTGGGAAAGTGAAAAAGCCGTGTGCTCAAAAATTGAGGGTAGAAAGATATTCAAGGAAGACATAAAAGTTGTCTTGGAAGGTGGAAATGTTGTCTTGGAACGCGGAAAAGTAATCTAATTGCTGATTATTTTCACAGGGAAATATGGTCTGACACGACACCCTCTGTCATCATCCCAATATCCCGAACTCCTCTACACAAAATATGTGGCTGATCGCTTTATGATGAGAAAAATATATTTTGAGATTTCAATAGAACAAGTTTTAAGACGAACTCACATGCACTTAACTACAACAGCTCATTTTATACTTTGATACGCACACAGGGGCTAATAATATAAATTAATTCTAAAATGGTGGACTCTGAGATGAATTTCTGGATTTTATATTAAAAATCTGCATTCCTGTTTGGCTATATTTTTAATTTAGTATTGGTTGTTAAATCATAAACCACTTGTCATTTATATGTCATAGCCATCATGTGACCTTGATTTAATAAACTGTACTACGACTATTGTGAATTAGAGTTTCGACCAATATTGTTTGCTATGAACTCTAATTTGTCGTTAATTTGTAGTATATTAGGTGTAGTCGTTATTTTGATCTCACGTACATGTTGTAACCAAGTTATATAATCATATAATCTAGACAGCACCTCGAATACAGCGCGTCTGTTCGATTCCGTAGTAACCACGTGACTTTCAAACTTCTGGGGTCGACACCTTATGTATTCCACAGCACAAACCACACATAGTGCACGTTGTTTTGCGCAGAATGGCAAAATAAAATGCAATGAACTGAAGGTTCAGTTCAGCCATCATAGAATTAGAGTCATATCTGCCATTCTGTGTGTTGTCTATTTTCACCGAATAAAATTATAGAAATGCAGTATTCAACATATTTTTACGTTAAATTTGTCAACTCCATACGAACTTATGTTGTACATTTTTTACACGTCACTGGAAAACATCAACTCATCAACATTTTTGGAATACTGGTTGACCAATATATAAACATACCAGTAATGCTAGAAATACAACTCTTACTAAAGAGCGGTACATTGCCTGTAACGTCTGGTTATATTGAATAATTCCCAAAGACTACGATTACCAACTATCATTTTTCGCAACTACGGATTGGCGTACAATGGAACATCACCGCGTACACGGAGAGCAGGCGCGTGTACATTCCAAGTACAATTACGTTCGACATGCTTGTCCGTGGAGACAATTACAGAGAAATCCATGGAATACTTGTTTCCACACATTTGTGACATCATATCTCATTATTAAGTTTGACAACAATAAGAAAGCGACATAGACAACATCATATCATATTATGACGCGGACAATGTCCGATAATAATCGCTGTGACGTAGACAATATCAGACAAATCGTTATGTCGTGGCAGTCGATTGTATAGTGAAGATATAAAAGAAGTGCCCAACATTGTGTTTACACAGTCTATTTTAATCAGATCTCACGTTCTATAATCTATTTTAATACGAGTCAACATGTCTCAATCATATTTCCAAAGATTTCGGGTTTTTCTGAATTCAAGAGGTAAGTTACGTCATCAGAGACACTGGCACCAACATGTCAATTCAAAAACCTCCATTCATCTCTGTACATATGTACTTTGCAAAAAGTTATATTTTCAGTTATTGTTTACAATGAATGACCTACCATCTTCATCACCACGTGTTGATATTGTTGTATTTCATATACCGTTTTGTTTTATGTAGGTCAAATGATAAAGGAACGGATATCAGGGAATCACAAGAAAAGCACGAAAGTAGATAAAGGGTTGATACCCATATACACAGTTAACAACGTCGACGGATTAATGCAGGCTTTTGTAAGTAACTGGATAAACTTCATAACTTAATCACGACGAAGAAAATAGATCTAGCAGCGACGCACTTCTAAGATGTATGACATAAACCACGTTACACGTCATGATCACGGCGTACTTTTTCGCGTTTGTGGTTTATCACCACCAAGTGGCAATAATTTAATAAATTTGTACCACGACTGTCGTTAATAACATTGTTGCTATGAGTAGTCGTAGCTTAATTAGTCGCCAACGTGTCGCATATTATAAGTTGTTGGTATTTTGATCTCATATAGTTACGTAATCACGAGAATTCTAGAACGGTTATTGGTCAATTAATGACACTGCAGTCATGGGAAAAGAATTGTGTATTCTTTGCCAAGCTATAGTGTGCATTATTGTATTGCATATACCACACGAGTTACATTCGTATTACCGAGTTGGATAAAGTAAATGTCATACTGACACGAAACTATTAATTATATCATTGAATATTCATTTTTTTACAATAATAATTTATGACTCAAAATTTGTTATTTGTTTTTCTAGGCGCTATCTGAAGACGTACGAGTAGTAATGGAATTTGAAAAGTGTGGCAGTCTATAGTGACAACGTTACTTGCAGACAGTGTTGTTAACACGTCAGAATAATTAACACCTTTAACCTTTAACACTTAACCTTTAACCTTTAACCTTTAAACAGAAATACTAAAAATGTTATCAATGACAAATGAAAAAGAAATAAAACATAACAAAACATCTATGTGTGTTTCGTGTTTCTCCCCGTACCTCTTCAAAATGCAAATCATCTGAAACACAATACTCAGTAAAACACCCTCCTCAACAGGAAAACTGGATAAACTTCGCTTCAAGATCCGGGCCATCTTCCCTTGACATGAAGGAACACTTAAGGGACTGAACAGAAATTACAGAAGGGAGGGCATGTGTGTTTTGGGGGTAGGGTCACTAGGCGTTGTGTAAACACCAGGGATATATATGGCTATATTAATGGGGGAGTAACAATATGTGTAGACACACATGCAAGAAAATGTGTACTACAAATAAAATGTTGTAGCGTAAATTAAGTAATAGCTTCAGATAATGAGAATAGACGGCTTCTAATAAACATACGATGTTAATAGTTTCACGAAAGTTTGGATTTTGTTTTTATTTTGGCAAACGAACGAACCTCATTGTACAGTATGTGGATTATGCAGTTAATATATGGGATTTATGAGAAAATATAAAAAACACGTTCAATTAAAAAAAACTTTGCGATATTTGTTGTTATTCATTCATTAAAGAATATTCATTAGTCCCACGTGAATTTAAATTTTCAATAATAATTCGGGTATTCACGGGAAGTTGTTTGAGAAGGCGGATACGTTGTCTGTGAAGTCAAATCTCTGTTAAATCTTGTACGGACAACCCGACGTCAACACTGATGGACAGCGGCGGCGGCACCGGGGGGGGGGGGGATTTAAATCTTCAATATTGATGATTCAAATCCAAATTAATTTAAATCAGGTGTGGACCATCAAAATTGACGATTTAATCCACGTCGTGAATGTATTCGATTTAAGTTCAAAGGCGACACATACATAAAAAAAAATGAGAGTTCGTTATGATGAGGTTATTGTGTAAAAGGAATGGTCTAACTCCTTTCTGTAACGTACAGTCGAGGAGTGACGATGGATGCCACGAGTGGCGTTTTCTTACTTTAAATGCAACCCAGAGAAATATTTTTTGTTGACAAATATAAATTAACATAAGTGTAAGACGATAAACCAGTGCATAATCAAGGCACCAAAATTGGTCGTGTCAATGTGTGATAGATTCAAGCCAAGCGACACCAAGTCGAGGCAAGGCCAGAAATACTGTCGGGTTTGTTACGTTTTACAAACAGAAAGAAAACAAATTCCAATCTCACACACAGTCTGTGTTTCCGGCCCATATCACGCAATCAAGAAATTTTCATTGGAATCGCAACAGACTGCAAGCAACTCTCGATTGTAAGTATTTTATTCCACTTCGGGATTAAAAATTTCCCACCAACCCATCTTCTCAACTCAATTTCGAATGTTCAAAAGAAATGACGTACACGTAGAATGTGGTATGAGCCTTACAGGGGGATAGCTGGTACAGTTTTACGGGAAATAAAAAAGGGCTTTTTACAATTTACAAGGAAAAAAGATGTTGTTACAGTTTACAGTGAAAATTGAATTTTGCAGTGAATTGTGTCATCTAGTCGTGTTACAGTTTCGAAAATGTAATTTTCCTGGATTATTCTTTACGACTTTTTTTATTTGGATGTAAATTCTTGTACGTACGGAAAAATTTACACATTTTTACAGTGTACGAAAACAATATTTGATTGATTACGTTGTACGTTTAGCCTGTGATTACAGAATTACGGAATTTATTTTTTCAATTTACGTTGTGCGAACAAAAAAATATTGCAATTACGTTGAACGAAAATAACCCTTGCCCCCCACAACGACTATTGTCGATAGAAATACAAGTAATACAATACTTAGTATATAGATTGAATTTGCTGCTGTTTACACAACCGAGACTGAAGACAACATGACGTCACGCAGTATATATATATTACATGTATATTTATTTATCACATATCACTGTTGTTACGCCTGCTATGATTGATTGAAACTCAGGTCGGCGAACGACGAAATCGATAGGTAAAAAGGTGTTTATGTAATTTTCTCAAACATAAAATGCAACTGGGCGTGATTTTAAAATAATTTTTATACATTTTACACGTGTTTCGCTCGCATAGCAACAGACCAATACGATCACGTTATACTAATTCCCATAGGTCTTTGCGCTTTACCCAATAGTACCTCTGCCACCTTTTATTTTTTCTTAATTTTACTTTTTTGTTTTGTTTTTTTTTTTTTGGGGGGGGGGGGAAGGCTCTTAAGTAACGGTCGTTAAATTTAAGATAACAAATAATTAAAACCTCATTTGCATACGGGCTGCAGGCCGGCTGGCTTGGACTGTCTTGCACCCTGGCTGGCCAAAGGTTCAACTGAGGTAAAAAGTTGGTGAGTGTACTGGCGAAAATTGTCGGTATTTCACCATACTTTTGTAGTTGTAAACCGTGATTAAGTACAGCCATCTCGAACGTTTGCTGTTGCCATGGAATTAACCGACCATCGATTAATTCACACTCAGCTGATTTACTCGTCATCCCTTGTTCATAAAATTTCCATAAAACTGGGCGGTCCTGAATCCACAACGAGTCGTGCGTCTATACCAAAATGGCAGCTCCCAGAAAGAAGATCGGTGTGTTGGTAGAGTTCAATTACGAAGACTTGGAGGTAACATGTTCTATAAACTTAAACTATTACAATTTCCCGCCTGCTTTGTAACTTGCGTGTAAGTGTTTTAAAGAATTTAATCAGCCACTTTACGTTGCCACATCCGTTCAAAACATCATGGCTACACATTGTTCTGTGACTGTGTGTTATTGTGCGGCGCTGATGTATGGAAATTTCCACGTTTGATGTTACTAGTATATCAGGTTGGGTTTTAAAACAATGCGAGTATAGATTAATATATAACTGTAGATAACGATAGTGTATGGATATGTAAGACAAGAAAATCATCGTAAATTCGACAAGAAAATTTTCCGCCCTGACGACATTCGTAATTTTTTTTAATTAAAGAAGCACTTCACAATGGCCGTTTCCGCGATCAATGATTTCGGCGAAAATGTTTATAATTACACTTTGTATGTAGTCTTTTATCATTGGTTTTGCATTCTCATCGCCAATCAAATATAGAGTTTTTTTTTTTTTTATTTTTTTTTTTAAATGTTTTTGTGCCAGGCGACAGTTCTGGACATTGAGTGTCACTGTTGTCTCTCCTGACTTATTTTTTTAAGTGCAAATTGCTAGTGCTAGTGCTGACACATAGTGCATTTTGCCACAGAAGTCATATTCATGTTTGGGACTACATGACAGGGCTATGTGGCCATATCTCTGTCAAATGTCAATTTTAATGCGCTATCCTGGCGTCAACCAGGCTCGGCCAAACACAAGCACCTGCGGACCTTAACCAAGGTTCCCCCAAGTCGCATTTGTTAGTGAATGAATCTTGGCCAGTGGAATTGGCCTTCCCATTGAGTCTGTGGCACACTCACCCAGGGTAGGGGTGGACCCTTTTGATGTTCAGCACCAATTTCTGCGATTCTGTCAGTGTCTGAATAATATATACTCTAAATACTTTATTTTCGCTTGTAATTAATTTTCACTGAAGTGCTGACTCAGTGAAAATAAAATCCAGCGAATATACCTTTTTTTTCCTATATTTCACATTCAACTCGTCAAAAATCAGTGAAAATAAATTGCAGACAAAACACCCAAAAATCTTTTTAGCAAAAATTAATTCCAGCTAAAATAACGTATTTACAGCACACAATGAGACCAAAAAAACATCTTATAAGTAAAAAGAAGGCTAGAAATCAGTTGCCAGTGACAATATAGAGCAGCGAATTAAAGCTACGGTATGTGTCTGACGTTGCCTTCCACCCTATCACTCTTATTTCAAACACTGATTGAAAACCAAGTGCAGGTGCATTACCAGTTCATCAAAATACGCACTGAATTATAGATCAGCAAAAAATCGATACCATGAGTGATTAAGCTAATGTTCTTATCTTATTTTCATCTATTCTTTCTACCCTTAAGGTAGAGATGCAGTTTATTTGTGAATTTCAATCAAAAATAGTTTTTTTCTGTGAAAATTTGATCAATGAATTCTTATTGGAACACTGTTAAAATTGCTGGTTATTTTCTGATTAAAAATAAAAAAACACTCACACATGGCAATGTTTATGTCCAATTGCCTAATTTGCATGAGTAAGCAAATAACAGGACCTTTGATTGACAATATGCAAATCGCGATTGTACGGGTCATAGTTCATTCAATCACGCGCATGTGCAATTATTCTGAAATCAGTTCTCGCTCGCTAGCAAACCAAACATTATATTTCCTCGGCGTTTTTTTCCTAATTTTTATCATTACATTATGCGTGGCGTAAAAAGAAAGAGAGGTAGAAAGAAGATTCAGAAGATTTCTATGTGGGAAGAGGCAAAATCTACACTGAAGGCATCAGACTGCCGAACGAAAAACAAAATCGATGAGAGCGTCCAAACGTGACTTTCCTTGGAGGCGTGAATCCGAGTTTCTGATTGACTGGGAGATTTTATTTTTAAATAATTGTTCTCAAAAAATAAACTGAGCATGTGAAGAATAATTTAACATTGTTTACCGTGATAACAACTCATTGTCGAAACGAAGCTTACCCATTCACGCTAGTCACAATAAACATCATACTCTTGAATAGGCGTCAATGACTACGGTAAAACTTAGACTCTATTTTAGGCGTCAGGAATGATTGAAATGTCCGAAAATGAAGTCAAAATACCACAGTCACTTGGGGGCTGAAAATTAATAAATACTAATTTTTAAAAAAAAAATCATCCGCTATACGTATATAAATAAACAAGTTGTGAAACACGGCACCTAGTAAATCGACACCCTGTCGGTTTCAAATGTCGATTTCTTACCTTAAAATGCGAAACAAAAAGTGCAGAGGAGGTCAGGTGTTATGTTAATAACCATTGTTCATAATCGCTAACTTGGTTTTATTCAAAACTGCACAAATCGCGAGTTTTCTGGTGATATCCGACGATTTTATGAACGAAAATGGCCAGCA